AGTGATACAAGTATCGTTCTGTCTTCGTTACTCATTGAATAAAGTCAAGAATAGAATGATGTTTATTGACCAAATAGAAAGCATATAATAGTTATAATAGTTATCGAAGGTAGTCTAAATTAAAAAGGAAACGAATCGGTGTTTTTTAATTGTAGTTTATATCTTCATAGAATTCATCCCTCTTTTGTAAATTTTATAAATACGACTACTATAGGAATATAAAGATTTTATATCAAATCGAATAAAGGCACTTACCTTTTACATGAAGCAAACTGTTAAGCCCATGTAATTATCTGGCAGTTATCGCATGATTCGATTAAAACTATTATTTTTGTGAACGAAGCGATCTTGATAAAACATAATGCATGGAACTTAATAAAGGCAATTCTCCTTAGCGAAGAATTGATCCTTATCTTCTTAATGTTAGTTCATGAATACATTTTACAAATTCTTCGGCGATCATTCATAAAGAAATTAAATTTTGTTGGCAGTAGCTTGTTTAATTAATAGTAATGGAATAGTTATGGATAAGATCTTATACATGATCCTAAATACGATATAAAATCATTCATTATTTAAAAATATTACGTCTGTTTTTATATCATGAACCTATTTCGTTTCATATAATGGTTGTGTAATGTTCGAATTACGGGACGTAATAATAATAAAAACTATTTGTTAAAGCTTTGCATATAAAAAAGATATTAATTAATTCATAAATTGTATTAATACATCGATAATTGATTAAAGAAATGCCTGTCTAGGTAGAATGATAAATATTTACGCAAACAACGGTGTTTTCCCCTTTTATGTCTGTTTCGTCGTCAGACTATTATTAAATGCCTTTGCAATGAGCTTTTGTTTGCGAGCAAATCTAGTTATCTATTATAATTATCTCTATCATTATTTGCCATTTCCTCATTCTATTTTCTAAATCAATCGTTGATTCTTTTTAATAGTCATCAACATTATTATATGCTCTTCGAGTCTCTTTCTCGTTATTATCGCGAAAGTTCTACGACTTATCGCTCGATTTTAACTTTTGATTCGTCTTGTTCATATCATTATTCTCCACAAGTCTAAGCTTGTCTGAATCAACAATCTTTTCGCTATTCAATGGTTCGTCTTTCTTCTTATTAAGACCGACGAATTCAGCTAACATATTCTGTCGAGATCTTTCCGGAAATTGTTCCCCCCTACCTATAGAGATTAAAGTTGCCCGTTTAGGAGGTCTTTGTAGCGGAGGTAGTTTTGGTAGGACGGAAATTTGGTCCGATTTCGATGTCGACTCTTTTTGTATCTCTTCTTGGTTTGCTGCCGATTTCTTTATCTCTTCCTGATTGAATTTCGCTGTCGATTGTTTCTCCTTTTGGTCGGGTGACGACTGTTTTTTTATTTCTTTCTGGTCAGATTTTGCAAGTTGTTTCTTCATCTCTTCCTGTGTGATTTTTTTAGTGAATTGAGTAATAAGTGGTATGTGTTTCTTTTCTTTTTCTTTATCTTTTTCTTCTTTTTCAGTCTTATCAGCTATAACGTTTTGAGAATCGCTTTTTTTACTTGGTACTAAAATATACTTCCAACAATTCGGCAATGACAGCTTGATGTCAGGAAGATATTGCTTCCGGATGCCCTCCGGAACATACCAGCAAGATTTAAGATGCATCGGTCCCTCTTCGGGACATGCTATCCTATCAGCGATTTCACTGATCTTCGATAATACGCTAACTTTCGATAAATGACTCCCGCTCTCTTTGCTCCAAAACGTCATGAACTCTCTCATAAGAATGTGTCTGCCATATCTGTTTCCGTGCACTAACCGGATCAGATCAGGCAAAGCTTCATCAGGGAATTTGGTCTTCTTTTTTGATCCTTTCACAGATTGTTGTTGGCCAGGCGTCTTGCATTCAATATTAGTCGAAGTATCTTCTTCCGGTGATGACGACGACGGAAGTATTATCGGTATATTGTTGACCCAAGCTTGACGGACTGACAAGAATTCTTTGATCTTTGGGGGAACTGGGAAAAACAAGTTTGAATATGTCATTATGAATAATTTTAAATATAGAATATTTTACAAAAATTTGTAATAAATATTATAATACTATATATAATACTATAAATATATAATATGATATATATATATATATACACACACATACATCTATAAATAAAATATACTTACTAGATTCTGGAAATGAATTGCCGGGTCCCTGCCAAATGCATCCGATTATTTTTGGCTTAAGTTTATGTGTTTTCGTGTTTCTTTCAGCTTCAAATTGTTCTCCTAATATCTTCAATTTCATCTTCTGTGTTTGTGGCGACTATAACAGAAAAAATGCGGTCTATACTAATCTGTATTTCAAAATAAAAATTTTGTATGTATAAAACCAGTTTTCTTAACATGTACTATTGTAACATTCTTACCATATCCTCCATTTCTTCCTCATCAGCTTGCGCTTCTTCCTCGGACAAATATCTAAATTACAAAATGTTTTCTTTTTAAAAGAATTTACATAAGCACGCAAAGATCAAAAGATACGAATATCAAAAATTTATAAATAAAATTAATCGCTTTGATACAGATTTTATTTTCTGATAGCAAGATAAATTCTTATAGGCTTTACAAAATTGTAATTTTTATTTTTATCAAAAAATTTCCTTGTAGAAGTTTAATTTTAATAAATAATGATATTTTCGAATTATTATTGTATAATCTGAAAGAAAGAAAGAACTTCTGTATAATTTTTTAAATAACCCAAAGAGTAAAATAGAATAGTATTTTACTCTTTAAGTTATTTAAAAAACTATTTCTGATATATAAAGAAAAAATATTGATAACTTTTAAAATACATTTCGCATATGTTACTTACCCATGAGGAACCATGAACTCATTGTCGACGTCGTATTCGTTTTCTTCCGGATTTTCCTCATCCTTTTCATCGTCCGAGCCTTTGAGTGATTCGCCAGGTTCTTCCTCTTCCCATTCATCGTCGGAATCAATTTCATATTCAAACAATTTCTGCAAAATAAAAAAACTTTCTTGCAGATACTTTAAACAGACTCGAGTTTTTCATATCATTAATATATAGTTTTCATACCATGAATATAAAGAGAAGTTTCATATGATTTTATTCTCTAAAAAAAAATCTTTTAATTAATTATCTCTTACAAACAATTCTCTATGCCGATTATATAAAAAACAATGGTCCCGTATTGCGAATGAAAGACATATCGCTTTCAAAATTCATGTTGTAAATGAATGTCGCTCTCACATAAATATTTTCGATTAAGGATGTTCGATAGATATATATAGCACATATATTAAAATATTTATATTAAACAGTAAACATATGAAAATTGTGTTCACACATAATATTTTATTTTTATTAAACGATATCTTTTTGTAGTTTATTTTATTTATTACTTTTATTGTCGTAAACTAAAATTTAAAAAATAATAAAAATCTTTAAATGTTTTTGTATAAGTACTACGGTTGTCAGGTCCTGAGCACTATACGGCTAGGGCCCGAAGGTACATGCGCTGGAGATTTCATATTTCGACTGGAGGCCTGCCGATTGTTTCATTAAAAAAAAAGAGAGAAAAAAAGGCGCAAGGTTTAATTCGTGTTTTACGACCGCTGTTACAGGCTTTCTTTTTGTCATTAATATTTGACCGACATAAAGTGTCAACACAATCACAGAGACCTTTTTATTATTATTACAATAATTACAAGATTACATACAGTGCGAACAGAATTACAAACTTTTTTATTATTCGTAAAATAATATAAACTGCGAACACACATAATCACAGACTTTCTTATTAATTTCCACGTAATTTAAGTATGCAATTAATAAATACCCTACGCGAGCGAAAAACTGGAGATTTTTCCCGTCTGCTGGAGAATTGGAGTCTCCAGTCGAAATCTGGAGACTTGGCAATCGTGATAAGTACTTAAGTATTCAAAATAACTTATGTAAAGTTTCATTGCGATTCGCCGATTAATTACAAAGATTTAGAACAAATAAATATTATTAATTTACTGGACAACTTCATCGCAATGTAACTTTACATAAAATACTCATATTAAAAAATTGAGATTATTTTATAAATTCATTTCCATACTTTTCTATTAGAGCAAAATGATTAAAAAAATATTACTTCTTATGATTTATGATCCAAATAGTAAATCGTCTAAACAAAATAGTAAACCACTAAACAAAATTTGTTGAGCATTAGATACTTTTAAATAAAACGATTTAAAATAATCTACAATTTTTCCATAATTTTTAAATTTATTTTGAAATATCTATCAAATATTCTTAATTTAGACAATTCAATGATGGCGTTCTCGTGCTACCATTACAGTTTTTCATGCATTGTCATCGACTTGTTTATCTTTAATTTCGGTTACGACCGCGACGGAATCTCAGTTCGTAAATAAGCAGGACGTCGATATCAAAGCAACTTCCTCGACGAGTGATATCTCGGCTTTGCAATCATCTCCGACGTGCTAGCCCGCACGCATTCCCGATTCTCTTAGTTACAAAGTTGTAGTCGGCCGCTGAACGTCCTATCAAAATGTAAATTCAAGTTCTTCGACATTTGTTTTTTTCTGTAACGGCCTCGGTGAAGTGTTAAAATAAATGCTGTCCGATTGTTTTCGCGTAACCACCGATACGAGGAAGTCAAAGATACATCCTCGTCGCAAAAATATTAATTGTAATGCGTGAAATCGCTCTTCCCAGTCGAAGTATCGGTCTTTGACGAGTGTGATGTAATTATTACCACAAAAAGTATGAAGTGTTATATCGAAATATTTTCGCGTTCGGTGTGAAGAGGAATGTATAATATACCGCTCGTTATTCGCGTGCAACTTAATTGGTAGCTTGTTAAGTAGCTATTTTCATCTTCGCGTTTGCAACAGCGTTCTGGAGTAGCTTGTCGAGTAGCTATTTTTATGATACTTTTTATTTTTATTTCCGATATTTTGGGTTAAGATGGGACACGATTAAATACGTATTATCGTATAGTACTTATCAGAATTATTTTTTTGAGTGACAATAGATGTGGCGCGTTCAACTAAGCGCGATAATTCCCGGGAATATAATTGAAATCAATTAGTTCGAAATGCTAATAAAACGCATGGCGGTAGTGCGCTATTCCTTGCCGAAAAGTCGATAAATATTCCCTTTCCCTTTCTCTCTCCTTCTTTTCTCTTTGCGCCGCGGCGCGAGATATTCTTTGTTCAATAAATCAACGTCGATTTCATCCCTACGTGAGCATCAATTACAAGACTCTTCTCGAGACATTAATTTATTATCGCGGAGAAACGTAATCTCACGAGCGATTGATACACTCGTCGTTGAGGCGAGTAACACAAAAACAATCGCCGGTTCATCGCTAATAAACAAAAAGGAAAAAAGAAAAGGATAAAGAGTGTATGTTCAAGCAGCTTTTGGCAGCAATACGAAGGTACGTATGACGTCTCGCGAAACATGTAATTTATTATCAAGAATACAAAGTGTCCCAGATTCTGAATCGCATTTCTTTTCAACTGCGGATTGTTTAATCATTTTCAAATCGATTCCACTTTACGAACACATCGAGACCCTTTTTTAATTACAAGTGATTTAAAACAACACAATTTCAAATATACTTTATTTTAATAAAATTTTTATTTCAAGAACTATTGAAACATCTAACATTGAAAATTAATAAAAAATTAAGAAATAAATAAAATACTATGTTAAATTTACGATCGGGAAAAACTAACTGAAAATCATTGAAAAAATATGCAGTTAAAAGAAAGTTAATACATAAATGAAAGAAACATATTTGTCATTATAATTTCATAGTAAAATAATTATGATTAGGATCTCAATTTTTGTGGCCATTACTGCTATAATATTAATAGTAAATATATAGTATAATTCGCAGAAACATAAAATCATTATATTATAAATTATGATAATTTCAAACATTAGTATAGTAAAATATCATGATATAAATAATAAATAAAATAAACATTTTTATTCAATAAATGTAATCGTTGCAATTATAGTGAATAAGTATAACTATTTTCTAAAGTTTACTAACTACTTATATGGTAATAATAACTAAAAATATGTTAAGAAAAAATTAAAAATTTTCATATACACGAGCAGCGTATATGATTATTATCAATACCACAACTACTCTATTTGCATGGTAAAATAATTATAAATATATATTTATCCGAAAAAATAACAAATTATACTTAAATTATGATAATTACAACCATCTTCTCTCAATGTAGGATCGATTTGTGTGGAAAGTACAAAACGCGTTGAGAATTTGTCGAATACAGTTAAAATAATTGTTACAAGCACTATAATACTTCCTGAATTTATGTAGATTGTAAAATTATTATTTGTTCATTATTAGCACGATTAATAACTGGATTGTCCACATTTTTATAATCAATATTTGTTTTTACTATTTAAATTGATTTGGTGTCACACTTACTCTGATTAGAGGCGTGAAGAATTGAGAACAGATCTCGCGCATCGAAGGCACCCTCGGCGCGTACGCATGCACGCATAAGCACACGCACGCACGAAACCCAAGAAGAAAAGCGCAGTTATCGGCCCGAGGGTGCGATGGATGCACTCAACGTTGCGCCGGTGTATGCCGCGGAGCGTCGTACATTATTTACAGCGTGTTGTCGCCCGGCGGGCCATCTGTAATGGCTGTTTTATGCTCCATTAAGATTATGACCGGTGCTCCTCGTCGTGGATACACCATAGATTAGGCGGTCCGACAATCGAATTGATTTATTCCCCAAATATTCGGGGAATATTGTTAGACCTCCTGCACTTCGTTACCGAGTTAGCGTGACGACGACGTCCACATGGAAATTGGAGACTGCCTCCACGTGAACTGTCATCGCTATAAAACGATGATTGGTCCCGTGAGATTCATATATATTGCCCATTTGGGAGCTTGTAAAACTACGGTTCGACGGGCCAAACGAATTATTAAAAAATTATATAAGAGAAGACGTATCGATATTTAAAAAAAATCGGTTAAATTTATATAGCTCTTAAAAAATACGAAAATAGTCTAAATTTTTCCCGTACGTAAAAGTATTCTATTGATGTCAAATAGTTAGAATTATCAATCATCATTTTCAGTAAAATGTGACACTGTAACAAGCGTGATCGAGATTTTAATTTCCCGAATGAGATGACACGCGCACAACAGCGTTTCGTACTGGTCATAGTGACGCAGGATCTAAAATGCGTCTCTCGCAAGATAAATACGCGTGTTATCACTGAACGAATAATAAATTTCACGTGAAACGGACTATTACCAATCATTGGTTGACATATCAATTACAATACATACGTTCAGAAGCATGTAATGTTACTTTCGGAGTGTATATTCGTACACTTTCTTCAATATAAGATAAAACGATAAACATTTTTCATAAAATGTTTCATACGTGAAAGTAAAATTCGGAAAAATTCAATAAATTTAGAAAAATATAATAATACGTTTGATACAATTTTTGAATGATTAACTCGAATAGAAGAGTATTTATATCCGATGTTCACAAAAAGTAGCTGAAAAGATATTTTATAAGTTAGTTTCGATCCAATGTTCAGAGAAAATCAAATCGAACTGCCTGACAAGAACCTGCGATGCGATATACGGCAGCCGATGAAAATTGATATCTGATATATAGCGCACGAGTACTGAAAGGGTTAAAGCTGCGTATGTGAGTTATGAAAGCGCGATGTTCGCGGAATATTACGTAGCGTATACGAACGTCAATGTGAGATATCGTTTCTCTGGACACACAATAAAACACGAAATCAATCCGATATCCGTGTGTGCCAGCGGATTAGGTGTCAATATAATTGCGGATATCTCTACCGAAGTATCTCCGTTTTTTTTTTATTAAAATCTTTATTTAATTGTTTTCTTACGTGCCTCCTGTACTTTAATTAATCGGGTTTCTTATGTATCACCATGTTATATTACTTATTATTATTTATTTTTATATTATTTTGTATCATAGACGTATATAGTGTATCTACCTTTTACTTCCCATTTAAAATCCAATATTCTTCAAAATTCTATTAATGTATTTACTTCTAAAAATTAATGTAAGAAAAGCTGTTTAAAAAAAGCTTCTTAAAAATAATTCTTAAAATATTTTAATCTTTTAGGTGCATTTTGTTAAATGCTTCTTTGGTTCTTATACAATTTTCCGTAAAGATGCTTTAAAATTATGTATATAATATAATAACGTATAACTTTCAAGAGAGCTTTCGCAGAGAGGAATAATTTTATTTTCTCGCGCGCTTTTCCTCTTTCTCCGTGGCTTCATTCTCGAAATGGATACAAGTGCAACGGAATTCGAGCACTCGCGAAGATATATCGGATCGCTCGCGGTCGCCAGATAATAAAATGAATCCGCCAGATAAATGTGCGGCCGATGGATCACTGTGTCGTCACTGAGCCGAGTGGTCTGTTTTTCATAACGCACCACGTAAACCGCGATAACTATACCTTTTAGCGCCGCTTCCCTAATCTAAAACCGAATATCTACGTCAACAGACACCGAATTCTCGTGGAAATAAAAAAGCGGCAGAGATTACACGTTCAATATTGCATCTTTTATAAGAGGTGCAGCGTTGTTCATTTTGTATACACAATACACAATGTTATTACAAAAAAACAAACGTTTTTATATCGCTTTCTACACGTTACGTAGCAATTATCTTCTAAAACAGAATCAATAGGTGCATTCATTACTATAATCGTTCACTGAACGTTCAGTGAGTTCTTGTACCTGTTTGGTTTATATTTTTAGATCTAACGGAATATGCCAATCAGATGCAAGAACTCACTGAGCGCTTAATAAGCGGTTTTACTACAATATTAATATAACGCTTTAGAATCATAACTATGAAAAGTTACTCCTGACACTGTTGATCGTATAATCTCAAAATTGACGTAAGGATAGCGTCAGAGCGTTTATCATCTCTTTGGAATGCAGTAAGAAGACGCTCCAATATGCATATATAAAGATGTTTAATTCCCACAAAACTCTTTGCAATGTATTTAATATTTCAGACGGGGTGTTATCTTACATACATCTTACACATCATCGGCTCTTATAGAACTTAGAACTAGAGTTAGAAGACTACATTCAAGAATATAGAGACTGCGAGATAATATGTCTTTGACATAAATAAACTGAATTCAATTCGATTATTATAACAAACCGCGTTATTAAAAAACTATTTTTGTATGGTTTTATCCATATAAAATATATTGCTTTTGATTTTTTTACTAAACTAGTTTTTTCAACAGTCGGAAGTTTTTTTTGTTAATCAGTTTACTGGTAATAAACTCATATATGAACAAAAATTAAAAAGTACCACAAGAAAATTTTTCGACTGCCATGTTGGAAATGTTATTTTGACTTTTAAAATTTCGATCCTGAATTTATCACCAGCGATTCAAAAAAATCCTTATACTGGATAAATTCCATGTAAAATACGAAATTATTCATTTTCACCAGTTTTGGCTAAAAACATTAATTTTGGGTCCATCATTTCTATGAATTGGTTAATACCTAAGAGATAGGTATGTTATATAACTATTGCATAGTGCTTAACAATCTTACATTCACTGTTTTCTATAAAAATCATTATTTAAAACTGTGATAAGCGGTCTCCATTATACAGAACATTATGGGCAGATTGCTTGCGAATTGTATACAGATTCACATTTTCACTTTTTTTAGTTCCTTCACAATTGCATCAAGATCGATCGGAGGCGAATCGAAAGTACACCAAGAGATAAAACAAAGTTTCTGAAGAATCTTTTTACAGTCGGGTTTCGGATTAATTTTACCTATGTGATGTTATTTTCCGACCAAATACGATTTTAAGCCCGAATCATCAAATGAGCGGCAATACATGCAATGTTGTATATCTAAGGTCAACCTCGCACCGATAAATGAGCAATCGAACTCCTAATAGCGGTGGCTCTCGGGTGAGACACCTTTATCGGGTCCCGAGTCGCGTTCTAGGTCAAAGCCATCAGCGAAACACAACGCATTGCATACGAAATCATCGGATTTGCGACTCGTTCTTGGTTTTTTTTCTTTTTCGACGGTAATATAATTCGGAAAGATTCCATCCGGTTCAACGACTCGCGGCCGATACTACCGACAAATCGGGAAACAATCAATGTAAATTTGGACATTCTCATATCGTAATGATATTTCTCATTAATAACACTGGTCAACAAAATTTCACTTTTTTTATATGTTAAACTGATCAGTTAAGATATTTCTCGTAGTATTTTTTGCGCTAATTTCAAATATGTTTGCCAAATTTATGAGAAAAGCAAGGTTTTTTGGTAACATGCAAAAATATAATAAAAAATTCCTCTATTTATCTATGCTGCTTAAATATAAATAATTCATAGGAAATAGCTACTAAATTTAATAAAATTTTTTACTTATTATAAAAAGCTTCAAACAAAAAGAAATAATTTTAATTAAAAGGAAAAGATTTCATACAACGATATATTAGCAAAATGTGTAAGTTTTTAGATAGGTACATGTCGGTTATAAAAATTTGGTACCGTTGGATAAATTCTAACCTCATTTTCAGAATCAACATAAAAAATAACAGTAAAAAAGTCAGTCAAAATAACATTTAACAAAATTATTGTTGACTAGTAATCAATAATTTCGAATTGTATGATATTTAACATATAAAAAATATGATATAAACGTTTATACAAAAGAACAAAAATTTTCATTTTAATTTAATTCTATGTACTATCTCGCTGGAAAAAATTTTACAAAAATCTACAAAAAGATTTTTATTTCTTAATATTAGTTTCTACAGGAGAGGGAATTCGAATTTTGAATAACACTTGACATAATAACAGAGATACTGTGTGTTGCGTGGATCTTAAATATTTTCGAACATAAGACATCTTGGAAACGTTTGGAAAATATCTCGGTCATGTACCTGCGCATTTTAAGCTTTTACAATGTTTAATAAAAATATGCAATAATGTAAAAACGATATAAATATTCGCATACGTGTTCTAATTCTAGTAGTAAAAAATTCTAAAATCTCTTTGAAAGAATTTTTTTTTAATTTTTTATTTTTAACTTTTTATTTCTATTTCGCGAAAAAAACATTTACTTCTAACTTTTTTGGCTTCTTTTGCGATTCAAACTATTTCTCGTAAATAAATAAAAGTCAAGTATTTCGTTCTTTAGTTCATCAAATCGGTTGATCTAATATGAATAAAAAAATTTTGATTACTATTAGGAGAATGGAAATAAAAAAATATAGTTTATCGATTATAATTATATGCCAATTCGAATACTTGAAAAATTATCCGATAGACTATAATAACGCATTATGTTCAGCTTAATTCGATGTAGGGTCATAAAAGGTTAAACATGGACGTTTAGAAAAAATTCGAAGTCTTAAGATGTCTTGGAAGTATTCGAGGAAAACAATATCTCGTTCGTATATAGAAAAAATTAAATTATTAATCTGATTTTCAATGTCCACACTTGCTTATAAAGTTTTATCACATTGCGTTTTATCACAGCACATGTGTAAGTATGAGGGTATGCACATTGCGAGTAAAATGGATCATAGATTTCGTAATCTCAAAGCTGCTTGTATCATTTCCATTTGTAACAATCTTATCATAAATATAGCATCTTAAATTCCAGTCCTGAAAGAGCAGTGGCAGTTTAGGGCCAAAATTTACCTGTGATGAAAACGTATGAAATCGGTCAATCTTTATAGATTTAGACGTGCTGAACTCGAATATGAAGTTTAAAATTCACCAAAGTCCGGGGAACTTTGAAGAACTTTGAAAATGCAATTTTTCTTCTTTGCAGAAAAATTGAATTTTTACAACCGATTTCATACGTTTTCATCACAGGCAAATTTTGGCCTTAAACTGCCACCGTTCTTTCAGGAGTTTTCCAGAAATTTTTCGAAATACATTAAATTTCAGGACAATCTAGGATTCAAGAATATTTAAGAATTGCTGGATCGCTTAATAACGCACAACAAGGACTGCGTTCAATAGAGACAGCAACTTTGCAATTGTTGTAAGATTCTTAAATATGATTGATTTGTACATTTATAGTAGTGTTTCGAACGATATCGAGACTAGTCTTGGTATCGGTGCCGAGACCGAGACGAGATTTGAGTTAGTCTCGTCTTGTCTCGGTGAGACCGAATCAATAACTACGTTTACATTTAGGCCGCGGCCTATACAATAGATGTCCTTGTTTATCCTGTAGGTTAAACAAAGACACTTATCGTATAGATCGCGGACTAAGCGCACGGTGTAAACGTAGCCACTAACATTTAAATCCAGACTAAGGACAAGACCAATTACCCATATTGAAGAATTTTATAACAGTTGTAAAGCTAAGCGCGCAGCCAATGTATATTTCAAAATCCACATGTGATAGGTTTCTAAACAGTTTTGCAAATTTTTACAGCAACAATTTATGACCTAACGAAGCCAGCCGTCCAACTGTTGAAAATTTCCTTAATGTGCCCAGCAGAGTCATGATATCTCGAGATATTTCTGTGCACGTACATGCGACCAATCGGAAAGGATCCAACAGTCTGCTCTCCTCAAATTATATCGTGAATTGAAATTGTCAATGTATCTATAGCAGCCACGTGCACGACAGTGACGGCATCCTTGAGACATCCTCGAAGACAAGAGAAAGAAAGAGAGAGAGATCTTCTCTCTTTTCCTCTTTCCCCAATCCGTGTGGTAGTGGACGCGATTCGTTCGATGAAATCAGCTCTGATAGCCAGCATCCAAGCATCGCGATTATCCGGCGCGCTGCCCGATTAATTTGCATCTCGAGGGACCGTAAATAAGCGGGCTAACTGCCCGATCGGGAGGGAGGAAATCAAGTTCGATGTGTATCGATTGCGGGTCGCGAGCCAACTTTAACAGCCGGGTTTCATAAGACTCGAGTGATGATCGCAAAAACGATATCACTTAGTTTATTTTAAAAAGAATTGTTTTTTTAAATTCCTATAAGCAGCTATAAGTAGCTGTCACAGAATTTGAAAGCTTATTTTGACAAGAGAAATCAAATCGAGAGAAATCAAAATCGTAATGGTAGAAATCTGAGGATCTGGTTCATTATTTAGAAACATTAACTTTTCTTAAATCAACAGTACTAATCATTATCACTGATTATTTAAATATGATGTGGAGTTGTCATAAAAAACTTGAAAATAAATCGAGTTTTTCTAATATTTTCTGAATATTTTTTTAGTTATTGTAATTGTCCTTTTTCTGAAACTTCTGAAGAATTTATTGTTTTATCCGTCCTTCTAGGATTATATTTTTCTCTTATCTTTCAACATTTTATCTTATCAGATTTGACAGAAACCTTTCAACATGATTGATGTTTGTTCGACCTTAAATCAGAACAGAATTTTTTCAAATAACTGTAAACGAAAATCGCGGTTATTGTGAAATATTTAATTCCATCCCTAATGCGGACCAGAAGGAGATAAAATAACGACAGTTCACCATTCAGAATGGTAGTACCGGTGTTCTTTCTCGGCGTTCTGGGACGTGCTGGCGACGCGACGTGTACGATCGCAGTCCCTGGGGATCGACACGGTGACGGCGCTGGGTGGCACAGGCCAGCATCCTTATCTCGAACTGGAGATCCATACGCCACACACTCTCTCGTCATACGGTCTCGTCGACGTCCTCTCGCCTGGAGGATTCGACCACCAGTTGCAGTATTGACACGACTACCGATCGGTCGTGACGAGCGAATCGGTGTTTTCGATTCCATGTCTCCTCTCTTTCGCGATGTTCGGACGCGCGCGAAATTTTGAAGGTGTATCTCGCGCTCTACGACATTTCGTTAGTTTTTATCGTAGTTCTGTATTTTAAAGAACTCGAAGTCTCTTAATCATAAAAATAAAAATCGCAGACGTGGCATCGTACATTTCTTAGAATGCTCATAATGTTCAACATTACTTCTCAATTTTAAAGAGACAAATCGCATAAGATTGCGATTAAGATCTAATACAAGCGGTTCTTAATCTGATTTATCGTGCTAAATATACCGCAAATAGAAGTCTGTCTTTGTTAACTTCATGCGAATAATGATATGATGATCAATAAATAGAATATTGATATTTTGAGAAATATCGATATATTGACATTGAGTCAATCTTAGAAGGAATCATGTAAACGCCAGAGTTGGAAATTTTATTCTGAAAGTCTTTGTCGCGTATAGTCGTCAACTTGTACGAAAAGCATATTTTTTGAGATCAGTTGCAGTTCTATTTAATTTCTTGGTATCATGATCGAGGAAGCTACGACGTTCGATGTGAGTACACAACACAATGTAATGTCGTTTTTAATTACGTATCCATATGCGACATGTACTTTGCGTTTGACAATATCATACTTGACTGCATGCATATATAGAAAGAATGATTTTGTTAAAGCATCTAAAAATTTAGGTAGATATAAAACCGTTTTTTATGTGTATCTACTTTTTTGCATCAAATTCCGTACACTCTGTTTAAGAACGGGATACTGATAAGTTCCTATCAAAACTGTCCTTAAAATGAGAATCGAGTATTGATTCATGTGTCAATATTTATAAATTCAGACTTATAAAACAATAAAAAAAAAAAAAAAACATTTATCTTCATCTACAGATGACGGACGAGCAACTGTTCTCCGCCCTTGGCCTAACGATGGACACTAGCATCGAAAGACAGCTATTTTCCCCGACCAAGACGAATCTATCTAGTGATTATGAAATCTCAAGTACGCTCAGCGACGACTTCGGAATATTCGACAATCAATTAAACATGATAAATCCGACAGATTGCTATACTGACTTAACTTATTCTCCGCAATTATCTTGGAACGACTGGTCGACCACCAATACCTCTACATCGTCAGGTACTCCTTTATTTATAAACAATTAATTTACAAATATAGAAAACGAGAATGTAACTATTTGTAAGTTCAACACAATGCAAGGTTATTCTCGTTTATTGTGAGAAAATCTGTTTAGACTTTCATTAGAAAACAATTTTAGATTTTACGCTCCGAGAATCTTCTAATGTAAACAGAACTTTTCTTAAAATGTGTGCTTAATAATCACAGGTTATTTTAGCGAATTGGGTGAATTGAATTCAGAGCTGGACTGGTGTCTAGAGAAGAGCTGGGACTCCGGTCTTCCGGAAAGAACACCATTGTGCACTGCAGGATGCGAAGGATTTTTGCATCTACCACCTCTATCAAATCCGCAACAGATGCCGCAATATGAAGAACCATTACTAGTACTCGGCATCGATTTACGAGCGTTGGAAAATACATTAGGAACAAATACGATAGGTACAGGGTGTACATTTTAAGACCAATAACAACAGTATTAAAGCGATGGGGATTTTTCGATTGCAATACGAAAAGAAGAGGATAATAAGACTATATTGTTTAAAATAACAAGATTATACTATTGAAAATCATTATCTTAATGATTATACATGAAGACAATTAAAATATATCTTAATTGCAGATTATAACAACAACCAGTTAAACGACAATCTCCTAATCTCATCAGCAGCTACTGCCGCTTTAGCAACCCACGATTACACTAATCGTAGTTTAGCAAATGCGTCCGAAGATCGATGCTTTCCATGTACCTACCAAGGATGTTTAAAAGTAATCTTGAGACTTTACGAGATTTATTTGTCAGCTATATTATTGGTTAATTCACATTCAATATACGAAAAGAACAGTTCTGCTGAAGTATCTAAAAATTTAGCTAACTATAGATCTGAAAATAATTTTGTTTCAACTGCCAAAATAATTACGTAGGATGTTCAAATTAATTGTTAGAATGTTAAAATTTTTTACAGCATTGTCATCAACGTTTAAGCGTTTTACATAATTATTTTAATGACTCAACCAAATTATTTTCAGAAAACCGTTCTTTCCGTGTAGTCTTTTAAAGAATAAAAATAATTAGAATCTGTGATTAAAATCATATTTATATCATAATCATCGAGTTTTTCATGAAATATTAATGATATAATGAATTTTAGATTGGCTCTCTCTCTCAAGAAAAGTTCTCTTAAAAATTGAGTCCTAGTTAAAATATAATATTTATTTCTTTTTGTTTTAGGTATATGCCAAAGCATCTCATTTGAAAGCTCATTTACGCCGACATACTGGCGAGAAACCGTTCGCGTGCACTTGGGCCGGTTGCGTATGGCGTTTCAGTCGATCGGATGAGCTGGCGAGGCACCGGCGATCGCATTCGGGCATTAAACCGTATTCGTGCGAGATATGCTCGAAAAAATTTGCACGTAGCGATCATCTGGCCAAGCATCGTAAAGTGCACCGGAAAAATGCCTACCCATTGTTTCACGGGGCTAGAGGACTACGTGGCGGCAAGATAAATGTTTTACCGTCAGAAATCTAAGACCCCTTTCGTCATTTAAAATTTCTTTTTAACTAAGAAAGCAAGCCAAAGTTTATCACTAAGGACATGAAACTATACGTCTACATAGCTTCTACATAACTGACAAATAAAGTACTTAAACTGATTCTATATAAAGGTAACAAGGTGATTTCTGCCAACTTAATGATACAGATTAGTTTTTTTTAATATTTTCGGCGGCTAATCTTCCTTGAAGTTTTAATACACTTATTTGTATCCCTGTTCAAGAGAGAGAACCACTAGTATTAACTCTAATGAAATAGTGTGTCATAAATTAAAATAATTTAATTTTTTGTTAAAATAATCAAGAGATTATATAAATTAAGAGAATGCCAGAAATTTTTTTCGAATACCAAAAAGTAAAATTAGTGCAATAAACCGAAATTATATTAAAATGAATAAGATTCACTCAACCTAGTATTAGTGCGACTAGTCTCTATTGGCGGCAGTTAACGTTACTTCAATAAAAAATTGTTATCAACGTCGTATAGAATAGATTTACGAAAAAAATGCATTATGTTATTCTTACTCTTTTTAGTATGTTTTATATCGTTCAAAATGTTCTTTGTAAAAATTAAAATTGTTAATGCAGTCGTAATTATCGAAGACAGATATTTGTATACGAATAGTGGCCATTTTAATAAGCATTATTCAATAATTAACGTCTCGAAATAAATAATTGCGAACTATTATTATTAATATTAATTCTTACCTTGTCTTTTGCAAACGGTCGCCGGGAATTTATGATGCTACTTCGTTTTCGCCATGTACCCCAATACGGAGGACGGCGATTTTCCTTGAATTGCAATAATTTCGGCCGGTGCTTCTCCAAGTTATGCGTGTTCGTTATAATGTTAGAACTGCCGTCATTGTCATCATCTGCACAATCAATTAGATTCATTAAAATATTTAACAAATTATTGGCTGGGTTGTTCCATTTTTCGATAAACTTTAGCTTACTGTCTTAGTTTCTTAGGATGTGAGCACAAGAATTGTCGTAACGCTTATTTAGAGACTTAAGTTGTAGATGTAAGTAAGGCTAGGTCTACAACCTTGCTTTAAGAAGCCTTAAGTTATAAGTCGAAAGAGATTAAGTGACAATAATTTCTGTCTTTAAACTGTTTTTGCGCAGTCTTTAGACTTTAACCATTAGACTTAAATGAATTGAGCAAAACCCAATTCTTATGGCCTAAAAGCATAAGTTCTGTAACCGATATATCATCACTTACAACTTAAAGTTTATGGCTTACGGCCTCTTAAAGCAAGGTTGTGGACCTAGCCTAACGCACAAGCTTTGGCGTATGACGTATGACTTATTGCCGTGTCTCCAAGAGACGGCAATAAGTCGTACGTCATACGCCAAAGTTTGTGCGTTACTTACGTCTATAACTTAAGTCTCTAAGTAAGCGTTAAGACCATTACGACAATTCTTGTGCTCAGACCCTTATTCTCTTATGCTCTTACTTTTTTACTCTTTGGTTTATCCAATAGGTAAATTACTACATAGTTTATCTGAAAATGGAACAACCGGCCCTATATCAAGAAATTTATATATCACATGATTTTTACCTAGTAGGACAACTTCATCATCTTTTGTTTCCAACGGCCACGTTTTGGAGGAAGTACGTGGCACTATTCTTTCCTTTTTAATATCTTCGAGATATAATTCAGTTTTATCTAAATCTACGTCGCACTTATTGTCAAACAATAATTTATCATGTTCAGTCAACTTTCTTCGACAAATCGGTGCGATTCTCATGTCGGCCTTTATTTCAAAAGGCATAAAATTTTTCACACCAACAACACTCTCTTCCTCCACTGATTTAACCTCCTGCTTTTTAGAAACAAAAAAGCTCGCAAAATTCGAGACAGCTTTCTGCTTCTTGCGTTCGGCTTCCAGTCGTTCCTCTTCTTTCCTTCTTTTCTCTTCTTCCTTAGCTTCTTCTCGCTTTTTCCGTTCTTCTTCTTTCACTTCCTTTTCTTTTTGTTTTTGTCTAGAAATAAATGATTTTTTAATATAAATGAAAGTGTACAACACAGTTGTAATGCACAGTAAAATACAATTGTTCTTACTCGATCTCCATTTGTTTCTTAAGTTCCTTTAGTTCCTTTTCCTTTTTCTTTTGTTCTTTTTCGATTTTCTCTTTTTCTTCTTTTTCTCTCTGCTTCTCTTCTTTCTCCCTTCGTCGATTTGCTTTTTCTTCCTCCCGTTTTTTTTCTTTTTCCTAGCATATAAGAAATATAATATAAATGAATTGATATACGTATGTGTATGTACAATATAATTAAATTAATTTAATAAACTTATTTTATAAGTAAACAAAAATAAAACACCTCTTCTATTTACATACCATTTTTAATCTCTGTTTCTCTTCCTTTCTTTTGACAATTTCCTGTCTCTTTTGTAATTGTTTTGGTGTTAATTTTTTAATTTTATTCTTGATATCTTTGTCAGTTTTTGGAGTAACAGGAGATGCAGGTGTGTCAGTTTCTTTATTTCTATTCGATATTGATGTATCTAACTCGCTCGAAGCCTCGTTATCCGAAGATAAAAAAATAATATCACAGTTTGTTTTCTGAAGAGAAAGATCTGTATCCTTATTAACAACACTATCATCTATTTCACTTAGTTGAGACATATCTAATTCAGATTGAATACATTGTGCATCTGAACTTTCATTCATACAGACTTCATTTGTTTCCTTATGTACAGATGTATCTTGACAGTCTTTCTTATCTTTTAATTCAAAATTATTATCATGATTACTATTTTTTTGTTCAGGTAAATTATAGATATGGTCACTTTTTTCAATCTCCTTGTCTGTTTTTTTGAGAAACTTAGTTAAGGCACCAGGTTTCTGTTGAGATTTATCTAGTTTCTTATTTTTTCCTAGACTATTTCTTTTAGATGTACTATCGATTTTCCTGGTATCTTGCTGATCACTTTGCCCAAGGTCTTTCTTTTCTTCATCTGATATTATTTCAATATCACTGCTAACATCAAGCTTTTTCTCGCTTGTATCTTCTCTTTTCTTTTCAGGTACTTTTTTGACCGAGTTCTCTTTTGTTCCAAGTTTTAACATCTTAGAGCTCGTAGGTCCTACCAAAGGCGACTTTATTTTCCTCTTCTTCATGTTAGACTCATTATCTGTACTGTTTGGTGATTTGGAGGAACTTAATGTTTGAAATGGTAGTTGTGCTAAAATAATGAAATAATTGTGTAACTAATAAACATTTGCATTATATAAATATAATTGTTACAACGTACACACAATAGGTTTGTTTGCATTGCTTAAAATTCCCAAAAATTTTTTTGCACTTAATATTCAATAAATATATAATAATAATAATAGCTTTATTAATGTGCAATTTACAAGAAAACCAAGAAAGACAGAGAATATTATAGTAGCAAGCACAATCAAAAGGTGAGGTATCAGGACAACATGAAGTGCAGGACTTTGAAGACCATACAACAGAGATGCAAAATGCATCGTTGATAGATATTAAACCAACCAAAGGATTTAAAAAACGGAGTTATATGATCATATCTTTGCACTCCATAAACAAAATACAGATAAGAATTTTGAATACGCTGTATTCTGTAAAGCAGTCGCTTATTCAATACAGAAATGTAGACGTAAGTGTCAACGTAATCAAACAAGGAAAGGATAAGAAGTTGAGTGACAAGAAGTTTCTGGGGGATGAAAAGGACATAACGCAGTGGATATATTTTACACAGACGAGCATGTGCTGCCCTACATTTGACAGCAACATGATATTCAAAGGATCATATATTTAGACGCTTAAAACGTGATAAATATATTTGAAAAGAGAGAATACAAAGCTGCTGAATGCAAAAAGTACAAGCAACACAAACAAACTTACCTAAATGTATGCAACATATTTGCAAGAAAATCAAATTACCTTGTCTCATTTTCTTTTTCGTTTTTGGCGTGACTTCTTGTATTATACATTCACTGTCTTCCATTGAATCGTCCATATTTTTCATTTGTTAAACCTGGTACATACGGGATGCTTTCCATTTAGTGACACAAATCAACATAATCATCATTCTATCTTTCTTGATATTTAACAAGTAATGCCTAATCTACAGTATGTTCATTAAAATCAAAATTTAAATACTAATCGGGCTCTCGAAATTAAAAAACAATAATATAATATATGGACAATGAGAGTATTAACACAGCACAGTAACTGGTGCGCAATTTATACAATAGTCCAATAATATTCACATAATATATAGATTAATTAGTACAACTTTAATACATATATTATGTGAATATTTTATTAAACTATTATATAAATTGCGCACCAATTACTGCGCCGTGTTAATGCTCTCATTGTCCATATATTATAGTATGTTCTTTGTTTCTTGTTTCTTGCTTTTTACCTCATGTTTTTTTCCTTCTTGATCAACAATTGTATTTTTTGCGACGTATTTCTTGATTTCGATCCCAAGTTAACTTTTATCTCGGGCGATAAAAAACGAAAAATGGGATAAGAGGCAAAAAGCCAAAATACTAAAAAAACAGCAAGAAACAAAAGCACATTGTAGAATAGGCTTAAAAAGTAAATAGCAAGAAATAGGAAACAAGGGCACATTCATTAGACTTTACAGCAGAACGACACTTATGTCAATTCGTGTCACCTGTCACCAAATGGAAAGTACTCGCAAACATTCGAGTTTTTTGTTTTTATAAAGAATGTTAAAGTTGCAAAAATAAGACTGCGCATTTTCGCAAAGTAATGATTAAATTGTCGTGAATTTACCTTGTTGTTTTCGAAATATCACAATATTTTTAGCATTCCTCGATTACGTTATTACTATATGGAACAATATAGAACTGTCAATGTAATTTATCGCTATAACCTAAACGAGAACAATTCGCCGAGACAGTTCAGTCAATTCCGCGAAGAATACGACGTCGCGTGAACAACGAAGGCGTGCAGAGAGAATTACGAATTGAAAGAAATGCAATTTTCACATTTAAACGAGCGTCACGTTAAATAACATAAATAACATACCGCCAATTCTACACCACACAGCACACAATCCTAA